ATGGCAGTGCAGGCAAGGAATGGGAGGTCTATGACTTTCCTGCTGGTGGCTGTGGAATGGGCATGTACAACACAGATGAGGTGAGTGAACACTCAAAAGGATGAGGCTGGAGATACTCAAGCTCTCAAAATAAAACCCCACAATAACATGTTAATCCTGTTCAGGATACGTGAACAGTTTGTGGGACTTTTGCATTTGTTACTTAGAAAATATTCATAAAAACTTTCTTGAGCTCACATTCATTTAGTTACAACCTATGCATTTTGAATTCTTCCCAAACCCTTTTTTGGATAAAACTTAAACAGCAGTTGTAAGCACTAGACTAACCTTATTCAACCTGCTTTGCTACTGTTGTGTTTGCCTTCCTCAGAGCGGGTCTGTTTGATTTAACAACATCAGAGGTCATCGTAGATGACTTTCAACTTGTCACGGGGAAGGTTGTTCACCTCTGTACTGCTGATAAAACCCACAGTAGTCACAAGCTGTGTTTTTTCTCCAAACAGTCTATTACAGGCTTTGCACACAGCTGCTTCCAGTATGCTATTGGCAAGAAGTGGCCCCTGTACATGAGCACAAAGAACACCATTCTAAAAGCCTACGACGGAAGATTTAAAGACATTTTCCAGGAAATCTTTGAAAAGTGAGTATCATTTGTCTCTGGTCCCATTTTGCTGCACAAATAAACTGGTATGAGTTTCTTATCTTTGTTTTAGAAACATGCAGATTATGATTGCAACAGTTATTATAGATAATTATGACACATTCATTTTTTGTTTAAAATGTTTAAAAGCCTAATCCTTTTTTTTATTTTTTAACAGGAACTACAAGCCTGAATTTGACAAGCTGAAGATCTGGTATGAGCACAGGCTCATTGATGACATGGTCGCCCAAGTGCTGAAGTCTTCTGGAGCCTTTGTGTGGGCCTGCAAGAACTATGACGGAGATGTTCAATCTGATATCCTAGCACAGGGTGAGATGCTGTTTGTAAAAACTTTTTTACCACTTAGGAAATAATGTCCTCACAAATACTGAAACCCATAAACCAATACCATTTTTGACACATTTTGTGTATTCTGTTTTAGGCTTTGGCTCTCTGGGACTGATGACATCAGTTCTTGTGTGTCCTGATGGCAAGACCATCGAGGCCGAGGCTGCCCACGGCACCGTGACCAGGCACTTCCGTGAGCACCAGAAGGTCAGTAACCACACGGCTCTGCATTGGGAACGTTTCAGCTGAGCAATGAAACAGAAAATCTAAGAAGCCAAAATATGACCTGGCAAGGAAACTGCATAATCTGTGGAGTTATACTGCCATCATGTGGTGGAAAAAAACTAGTGTATGCAACTAGTGTATGATCAATGCTCTGCAATCATTATTTGAATTATGGTGTAGTTAAAACTCTTAACATTCTCCTCAACTGTATTTTCAGGGAAGGCCGACCAGCACCAACCCCATTGCCAGCATTTTTGCCTGGACAAGAGGCCTGGAGCATCGTGGCAAACTTGATGGCAACCCAGACCTTATTAAGTAAGTGTAATATTATTACATTATTAAACCAAACACACTTACCCTTTAGGAGATGAATGTTCTAAATGTGTGTTTGTCTGCAGGTTTTCCCAGACTCTGGAGAGGGTGTGTGTTGAGACTGTTGAGAGTGGTACGATGACCAAGGATCTGGCGGGCTGCATCCACGGCCTGTCCAAGTGAGTTTATTTCTAAATTAAAATGTTAATACTGCAGCTGTTCATGTAACACTGACTTCTTTAACACATAACTTACTAAGATGATGAAGGTAATGATTATTTACACTCAGCAGCCATTTTCATTAGATGCACATGAGCATGAGTTCAGTAATGAGTGGGAAATATCCAATAGGGATCTTTATCCTCACGGTGTCAGGCAGCAGTCGACATGTTCAGGCACATATAACATGTTGAATGGAGTCATCAGTAACAAACTCAAATGTCTTGGGTGTATGGCATGTTTACAAAAATGACATATTTTACCTGGGAGACTTCTGGAGATGTAAGGAAGCATCCGGCCCCAGAGACACTGAAAATAAAGAGTGGAAAGCTCTTGTTACCTTTGGGACATCACACCTAGAGCATTTAGAATAAGAAGCGTGAGAGAAACCATCGTGCATCTACACTCATCAGGCGCCATTAAGCACCTGTAAATATTGTGTATTTCTCATGTAAATATTAAAAAAACAACAAGGAGTTATCAGTAATGTTATATTCAACAATGTTTAAGAGAAAATGCTGAACATAACCATAGTTACATCCTTTGTAATTATGAGAATGTGCTTCTGATGATGCTGTTTGCATTTGGCCTTTAGCTTCTTAAAAATTGTATCAGTCAGTTTTCACCGCTCTGACATTTTATACACCAAACGATTGAAAAGATCCTCTGTGAATGTATCAGTAATATAAATAATCTTTAGGTGCAGGCTTAATTAAGTATGTATCTGTTTAGTTCATGGTTCATGTTTATGTTTTGGAACATTAAGTCCATAATTGCACACAAACATGAATAACTTGGGGCGTTATGTGGCAGATTTCCTCCTTTTTAACTTTATATGAAAATATTCTCTTTCATTAAATCACCACCATGATCAGTCTCAAAATGTTGAATAAGACAGTTGGTGGTTTTTACTCCAGTTGTGATCTGCTTTCTTGCGATACATGTTTTATTCCTCATTATTTATTTGCTGAATATCTCTGACTAATACTGGTGAAGTGTGTTTGAACATGAGGCCATGGTCAGAAAAAAAGATTCCTCATTCTGTTACAAATGACAATGTGGCTCCAGGAGATTGTTATTATCATGATATATTACGCACATGCATTTTTGCTGATTTCAAATGCACATGAATGAAGAAGAACAAAGTATTGCCTGACTGTTCAACTAGATCCAGGTACAGATTGAATATTTTATTCTTTAAACGTTTTATTGAACCCTTTATCAAGGGTTGGGTAGCTCTGGTGGAGGTGTTGTTTTGCTCACCAACATGTTTCTGCACATAGCTGGTATTTGTTCTAGATTTTAAATAGTTGCACTGGCCTGTTTCAATCTTTTTATTTTTAGCTTTTTTTTATCCATTAGGATTTGAGCCCATATCAGACAAATATTGAATTTTCAAGCAATTCGAAGAGCTGTAACTAACAATAACTATGCTAAAGCCCCGATGATAAAATATCTCACTGATTGTTTTGCTATTATATTTTTGGTCTTGGTTCCTGTAGTGTAATATTACATTTTCTCATCTGCTCTGTCCTTTCTTGCCTTCTCAGTGTCAAGCTGAACGAGCACTACGTCAACACCACAGACTTCCTCGACGCCATCAAGACAAATCTGGAGAAAGCCCTCGGCAAGTGAAGGACTTGAAAGAATATATAGTTATCCTGGAGATGGCGATGTCACTCCTCTGTTTTTGTACCTCATTTTAACTTAAAAGGTCAATAAATCCACTTGCACTTCATCTGAAGGAAGATAAAAAAAAAAAGTACTGTTTATAGGATAATGTAGTTTTCTGTCAGTTAGTCAACAGTTGAGAGATGTCCTTTCACCTGATACTTCCCTCACAGTCTGTCCCATATATTTGCAAGGTTTTATTTTTGTAATGTGAAGTACTGTATTCAATTACTGTGTAATGCCTTGGGCAGGACTGAAGCCTATGTCAAATATTTGCCAATAAATCCCTTGTTTGACCCATTACTAGTGTTTTTCTTTTTGAACAAACGATTGCTCAGCTTTTTTTTAAAGGTAAATAAATTTATTTTTTTACAGTATTGTCTGGTACACAACATTGTACATACATTTCTATCCACATCATCTCCACACTAATGTCTAATACAGAAAGCCATTTAAGCATGTTTCCCTTTGTTGCATCACTGAAACAGTGATGGAGTGAACACAGAAGCTGAAAAAAATGCACAGAAAGTAGCATTTTTATTTTTAAATGCGCTATATTGACATTGCGAATGGATACCTTGTTTGCAGGTTACGCGTTTGAAAAGCTAAGCGCTGGGGAAACTGAATAGATTGAGCATTTCCCAAATCATTTTCCATGAGGTCCATGGCCCTGTCACATGTTGGGAGGTTGTCGTTCATCACTTGAGACCAGTGTACAGCATGATGGATGGCACGCTCTCACAGACACACTGGGGCACTTAATATTTCTGTCCGAGTTTTTTTGGGACAATTCTTGTTGAGATTCATCCATTAAAAAGGGCTGAGATGTGAATGCGGGGTTTGCATTGCTTTTGAAAAATGCTGCAGTCTTGTCTCGTAAAGGCGTGGATGAGGTTTGTTGGAAAGAGGAGCTGCACCATAGTCCGCTCTCCGTGGTAATCTTTTGAAGAGATCTACAGATGGGAGGGGAACCTGAATGTAATTTCGCGAGGTCTTTGACTGAACCCCAAGAAATCCAATGTCCCAGCTCTACACCGTCAACGAAGACACTGACGGTTCCTGCTGCTGTTAGATTGATCCAATTCTTTGGTAAAGGGCTACGACCATTT